GTCCAAAATTTTGGTAGGGACATGTCCCTATGGTCCCTATGCAAACCTACGCCCATGTCTCACAGTCCTCTTCTGGATCATCCATAAACTGTCAGGAGAACTTCAGATGGGCCTGGACATGTACCGGCTAAAGACGGAGGACACACCCGATCCTGCAGTATGTGAGTCCTTCTGGGCGTAGAGTTACTGCCTTTGTTCCTTTGGTGCAGGGTCTCTGGAGGTCGTTCATCAGATCCCTCTGTGGAGTTCTGGGATTATTGCTCACCTTTCAATCATTTTGACACCATGGGATGAGATCCTGCATGGGACCCCAGATGGAGGGAGATTATAATTTATTTTCTCTGTCTTCCATTGTCTTCTAGTTGCTCCCAGAGTCGATTTCTTTCCACCAACCGCCTCGCCTTTCTAGATTCACTCTTCCCAGCCTGGTGCAGCTCTGTAGTTTTCTTCCTGGTGTCCTTTGACAGCTCTTTAGTCTTGGCCATAGTTGAGTTTTGAATCTGACTCTTTGAGGCTGTGGAAATCAGCTTTTATAAAGGTAAGGAATTCTTAGCTCTCCACACCTGTATCAAACTCGTCCCATTAATACTGGCAATGGGTCGAGGAAAGAACAAGGTTACAGATCTGATGGCCAAACATCTTGCTTGATTGTGAGACAGCAAAACTTATTTTCACCATAATTTAGAAAAATTCTATGTGTAATTCCTACAACGTGGTTTCCTGGATTGGGCATATGTTGAAAATTAAAGACCTCTCTCATGTTTTAAGTATGACAACTTGCACAATTAGTGGCTGACTAAATACTTTTTACCCCAATGTATTTAAAGAATGACATTCAAATATTGAATTCTAAACATAGAGAACAAAATATGCAATGTATTCCATATTAAAGAGGAACTGAGGGGAATGACAGTCAGTTGCACCTCGGTCAGATGTCAGTCTTTCAAGAGGATCTTCACTGCTTTCTGAAGGCGTCCTCATTCAATGGGCTCACTCTCCAGAAAAGTGGATAATTCAGCAGAATTTTCTGTCCTTGAAAGCAGCTCAGTTCTGTGGAAATTTGATTCTTTGAAATCAAGGCTCGCTTCTGCTTATATTGTGTATTTATTTCAGATCCAGGGTTATTTTTAAATCAACAGTTCAAATTTTATCTCGATTCTTGCTTTTCTTCCTCTGTACCTGTAGAATGTGACGGTTGGTAAATGTTAGATGAGTTGTTTTAAAAACTGCAAAGAATATTAAAAAGTCCAGTAAAGAGTTAACCAGAGCACATTTACTCTGCAGGGAATAATGTTTGTCTCTGCTTTAATTAAAGATCAATGTTTGGTAGAAACAGTTTCATAAAGTGATTCCCACTAGTTATCGTGGCTCTATTTACATTCAGCTCTGCAGCCAGTTTTCCAACAATCACTCCAATCAGATTCAGCTTCTTGAAAAGAGTTGGAGTTTTTTAGCCTCCATCATCTTCCTGCTTTCAGAGACGTTTTACTGCAGTTACAGTTATGGCTCCATAAAACCACACAGGTGTTCACTGTGCAGGAAGTTAGATGTCTGTGCATCTATGAACAAGTCTGCTGTGAGAAAGTCTTGATAACAGACGGTTCAACAGTCCAACAACGTTCTGATGCTGCATCCAGCTGTAAGGTCTGAGCTCCTCTCTCACCTGGTGACTTTACTGATCCTCCATTTCCTTCCACATCCCCGGCCGCCAGTGGTAAATCCTCTGGATGAAGTGTGGGGCCCTTTTCGGTAAAATAATTAAAGAAAAATCTTGTCATCAGAAAACAAATTTAACAGGGCAGAAAAATATAAAAGCTGTGAAATAAACATACCTTTGTGAGAACTGTAGAACGTCCTTTTTTTGTTTTTTCATTCATGCCAAGTGGAAAAGCAGAAGGCAAGTCAGAAACGTTTTCTAATACTGACAGGACAGTTTATTTAATTCTGTAAAAAAAAGAGCGCTCACCAAATATAAACATTTTTTTCTTCCAGAGAACAAAAACAGCCACAGCTATTCCCACACACACAACTAGTACAACAGAAATCCCAACAGCAGCAGCCACATATATATTTTTTTCTCCACACTCTGCATCAGTTGAAGTTGTTCCTTCTTTAACCAGCTGAAGATTTAGTTCCTTGCATCTGGAATCACACAGAGATCCATTTACAGAAATTCATCTGATCAATCAAGTTCACTCCTGGTGAATAATCTAGATGTGTCTATAGATCTATAGATTCTCTTACTGTGTGTGTGGCTGACAGAGTGTTAATGATCCATTAGAAAATGTTCCTCTGCTGCATTCAGAGCATTCAGTGTCTGACAGCGACGTTCCTGTGAGAATAAAGAAACATTTCAATCCACATTAACACTGATTATATGTAGAAGAGATATGAATGAATAATATATTATGATTTAGAATAAAAATGTAAATATGAAATCAGGGCTTTGCTTTACCTGCTTTGCTAATATATTGTCCAGGTTTACAGCTGCTGTGCTTTTTTGCAGCATCACAGCTGCCTTTAACAAAGTCGATACAGAAATATCCTTCCAGAGCTTCACAAACTGTATCAGATGATCGTGAACATTTGATTTTCAGCCTCAGACCAGAACCTGCCAACATAGAACAAAGTTATCATGAGAGAAAACAGTGATTCTGCTTTACCAGAAATTCACCTTTTCCCTGAAACTTAAAGGCTAATCTCACTAATCTCTCTTTGTGTTTAATCCTAAACCTAAAAACTTTACCGTTAGTTAAATAGTTAGTGTAGTTGTTTAGATTTTTGTTTATAAAAAAAACAGAAAAGCAAACACAAGTTGCCAAATAACTGCTCATGTTATCAACAGGGGCCAGTATTATAGGATGATCACAGCCACATTGTACACTCGACACACAGCATTATAGAGGTTTTCTGCTATAGATTAGTAAAAAGAGACTTAGAACAGTAGTAACTAGAAAAGCACACAGAGAGAACAGACCTCTACCAAGAAGGATATTTTTGCCCCGTATTGTGAATTACACCTATAGCTAAAAGTCAAACCTGATCTGGATCATTACCAAATATTAATTACCTGTTTCACAACATGAGGTGAACCTCTGGTAAAAATGTAATTTAAATCCATCCATAACTTTTAAAATTATCCTGTACACAGCCAGACAGACAGACATAAACAAACTCTCCTAAAGACATAACCTCCTTGGCAGAGATAATTAGGAGGATGTTGATGCCAATGTCTGGACACAATAGTGGAGGTGTGAACCACAAATCCAAAGACTGAGCTGAACAAAAAAAAAACCAGGAGCTGCTGACTTAGTTCAATATGTTGTGTCATCTAAAGTTATTACCTCCAGCAAGGAGGTTATGCTTGTAGTCGAGTTTTTGTCTGTCTGTCTGTCCATCTGTTTACAAGATAACTTGAAAAGTTATCAACAGATTTGAGTGACATTTTTCCCAAAAGGTGCACCTCAGTTGAAGGAAAAAGCCAAACAATTTTGGTAATGATCCAGATCATAATCAGGATGCAGGATTTTTTTTAAAGTTAAAATGATTTGCCGCAGCAAACAGTTCCCTCATAAACCAGAGGGTGGCCAGAAGTATTATACTGAGGATAAAAAAAAAGGAAAAGTGAGCCATGCCTCCCTGGAAGTCTGGATTTGCTGATCGAAGAAGAAATCAGAGACAGAGGCTGCAGTCACACGCTGGGCCTTATTTAGTACCTATGAAAGGATTTTAAGGAAACTGTTACCAAAGGTGTGCCTCATACCAAGGAAAAATTAATTTGATGATGATCCAGATGAGCTTCTAGATTTAGCTACAGGTTTAAGTCACAATACAGGGCAAAATGTGCTGCAGGTCTGCGCTCTCAGAGTTCTTTTCTAATTTTACCCAAACGGCACTAGTTTAGTATTTTTTAAGGGGTTTAGCAAACAGATTCATATCCAGCTGTATATATTAATGGTTAGAAAATGTATAATTATTTGTAATCAATTATTTTAACAATCCATGCTGATGTAGTGTGCAGAGCCATCTAGTATTTACTCGCTCCAAATCCTGTCTTTTATGACAACAGATATACCAGTTATAAGGCTGATAATGACTCCATTGTCTCTGAAAGTTGGACCGAAAACAGATTTTTAAACCAAATGTAAAAAAAAAAGCAGACATATAAATTACAACTGATAAGAACACTGAATGCCCCTTAAGTTCTAATTCAGCTGTTTCATTAATTTGTTATTTTTCTTTTAATTAAGCTTTGTTTTAATAGTATCATGAGAAATTTTGACAAGTGCACTATGGCTGCAACATGTTTATCTGGCTAACATGGATCTGTAGAACATCTCTCAGTTAAAATAGGAATCAACACAGGAAGGGAGGAGTGCTGCTTCAGCATTAGATGTGACCGATACTGATTGATCTGTGCATCTTTGCACTGATCTTAATTAATGCTTTTTTCATATTTTCAAAAGCTACTGAACAAAAAAACAAAACAAAAAATATTTTTTGCGAATAAGGATTAAGAAAAGCAAAAAATGTTTTTTCATTCATCTTACAGTACAGGAGATGTTTGTTTTTCTCTCACACCACCTATGATATATATTAAGGATGAGGATTTTCACTATGAGGCTTGAAATGCAAACAAAATGTTTTTTTGACTACCTTATCCTTGTGCAAAATCAAATGAATCTATCTATATGTTAATTCTAATCTTTTCTGTCAAGTGCTGCCTATTTTAAAGTTGAATCAAACAAATAAAAACTACCAAAATATTTGAACTTCATCACTTGTTATAGCAGAACACTTGTGTACATATTGTGTATTCAAGAACTTTGAGGTGAAAGAAACTTCTGGGTGACGATGAGGAGTGCAATAAGAAGTTTCACCTTTATCACATATAGTGCATGGGTTACATTGCTTTTTTCCTGTAGGGTTCTCCATATATGTTCCATCAGCACAGGGTAAACAGGATGTGCTTCTGAACTCTGTACAGTCTGTTTTTACCCGATTGCCTGTTAGAAAAGGAAAACAACAATCACAATTTGGACCTTTGTGTCCTATTTCACATGAATCAGCGACAATAAAGACAAAGACTGCTAAACAGAAATCTGAATTTGGTCACAAACAGCTGAATTTAAAAAAAAGCAAAACAGTCAATTAGATAAGGCTAGAATTGAACACACTGACTTACAAAATATTAAATCAAATACCTTAAATACGAACACACACTATTACATTTCTCTGTCCTTGTGAGGACTTTTCAGTGACTTCTTTCAATTTCTGACCCATTTCTACAGCTTAACCGTGACCCTCACCCTGAACCCAATCATAGCCCCCATAAAGCATTTTTACCAAATATCAGTCCCCAGGAGAGCAGTCAATCCCCACAATATATGAAATCCATGCTCACACATATGTCTGTGTGTTAATTACACTGTTACATCTCCAGCCTCATGTGTCACATGTTAGTCACATTTCTGAGGTATAATGTCAAATGGCTGAGTTGGATAATGTCTGCTGTAAGGTGTGACGAGGAGGATTAGAAGCCAATTAGAAAACAGGGTGGAGTTTCATGTCTCACAGACAGCTGCTTTAAGCATATTTTTGAACTGTGTAATTATAAATTGGTTCAACTGATTGAATTAATCAGTTGAACCAATTTTTTTACTAACATTAGTAGAGAAAAATAAAATAAAGGAGACTGTTTCACAACTAAAACCAGTAATACATGTTTAACATGTTCTGCAGGATTACATTAGGATTACATCTACACCTTGTCTATCACTAAAAGATCAACTTACTGTAACGTCTTCCTTGTTATTGTTAAAGTATTGATGACTGTCTGCTCTGCCTTCATTTTCTATGTTACTGATGAAGTTCTGTAACCTTCTACTTGCTTACATTGAGATCCTACTGAGCCTCTGTCTGACAGAGCTACAAGCAAAAAAGTTTACAGGTTCTAAAGTTGATTAATTCAGGACATAAATTCCAGGGTTAACTGGATTAGTTTCAATCCTTTAAGAAACATTGAACACCAAGTTTTCAGCAGTTTTACAAAAACTGCTGAAAACTGGCATGTGTTGCAAACTGCAACATTTTTATGTCCAAAACATTGCATTCTATTGTTCATTGCAGCAATACTGTAAAAAGAAGGGCTGCAGTTTTGAAGCTGCAGGTTCTTCTTTAAGTTTTAAGGCAAAGGTGCCACTTGTCTTGATTTTAGTCCTGCCCTGTTTGTGCTCCCTCTCCCTCTTCTGTAGATCACTGATCATTCCAACCTGGGCTGCTCACTATTTAAACCAACCCAGTCTCATGGGAAAATGTACCCCCACTACGTTGGTCCACACTGCAAAACGTAGTGGAGGTACATTAATGGCCATTTTTTTGTGGTACTGTTACGTTTCTTCTGCCTATACGCTTTCTATTGTTTTACGTCCTAGTCACGTGACTTTCAAGATTCCAGCTGGGAGAAGAAAAATATATTTTGTTGGGCGGCCTTTGGTTCTTTTTTTGTGGAAAGATTAATGACTTGAGTTTGTTTTTGCATTAAAATGAGTTTTGATTACATTTCTAGTGAGAAATGTATAGTTTGTTGCCAGAATATTTACTCAGGGAATGTACATATTTACTTGCTTGTTCGTTTCTTGCAAAGATTTTTCAAGATAATGTGAAACTGTAAGGTTTTGGTATAAACATGGCTGAGATTTCTCTAACTTTTAGTGGGAAAATCAATAATTTCAATCAGTTTCTGCATTTAAATGGGTTTTGATTACATTTATAGCAAGAAGTGTAGGGTTTATTTACATAATATTTACTTAGTGAACATACATAATCACCCGCTTGCTAGTTTTTGCTACAGGTTTTCGGATCTCGTCAGGATTATGTGAAATTGCAACGTTTTGGCTGCTACCCATCGCCTAGCATTTAGCTGCCGCCCCGATTCAACATTGAATTCTTTGTGATTTAACTCCATCTGACGGATCAAACCCTCGCCACTGCGTGCGTTGCGTCTGAGGTTGATTTTCAGATCAATGCATTACGTCGTGGCATACGGGAGAAACTAATTAAACTAGTTTAAAAAAGGATCATGGGTTAAAGGAGAAGTTCGGTTTTTTACACTTTTAGCCCATTTTCTGTAGTGTCCAGGATGAAATCGAATGATCGACACCAAAAGTTTGACAATTGCTCCTGTCTCTGCTTTTTGGCTCATTTAGAATCACCCCCTGGCTGCTTTAGAATGGCTTGCATAGAGCATGTCCGATAATGTCCTTAAAACAACCTTAAACGTTCTTTTTTTAAAATATGCTACTCACCGGGTCGTCAGCGCTGTTCAATGACGTTCCAAAAAAAGTTTCGTGAAGAAAAAACGTTCCTGTAGTGTTTTATTTAGCATTTTGTAAATCCCATTGAGTTCTGTTGGAATAGTCAATATTCCGCTGCCACCGGAAACGGAAATGGGGCCTGTTTACACTTAGTTGTAGTCTTTTCGCTTCACTCTGTGTACTCCGACGTCGAGAATCAAGAATCCACCTTTCGTATTCCATTTTCAGAGTTTTTTAAAGTGTTTAACAGAGACGTTAGCACCTCGACGTCGGAGTACACAGAGTGAAGCGAAAAGACTACAACTGTGTAAACAGGCCCCATTTCCGTTTCCGGTGGCAGCGGAATATTGACTATTCCAACAGAACTCAATGGGATTTACAAAATGCTAAATAAAACACTACAGGAACGTTTTTCTTTAAGTTTTAAACTTTTTTTGGAACGTCATTGAACAGCGCTGACGACCCGGTGAGTAGCATATTTTAAAAAAAGAACGTTTAAGGTTGTTTTAAGGACATTATCAGACATGCTCTATGCAAGCCATTCTAAAGCAGCCAGGGGGGGATTCTAAATGAGCCAAAAAGCAGAGACAGGAGCAATTGTCAAACTTTTGGTGTCGATCATTCGATTTCATCCTGGACACTACAGAAAATGGGCTTAAAGTGTAAAAAACCGAACTTCTCCTTTAAGATCGGATGTGTTTTATTTGGAAATCTACCGGATCCTTTGTGCATTTAACTTCCTGTTTGGTGCGATGTCATTGATGGGTTTTGACCAGATTTTGACCAAAGAGGAACTAAAAAAAAACAAAAACAATTTGAATACACAACCAGCATATCTAGAATCAGTGACAGAGAGCGACTGGGACCAGAAGTTTATTAATTTCTCCCCATTGATTTCCATTCAAAATGTTTTTGCTCCCACCGGGCTCTAGGGAAGTGGCGGGCATACCGCCACCTACTGTTCATGAGTGTGTAGCAACATTGTTTTACATCTATTAAATTCTATTTTTTTATTTTGTATTCTGAAGATAAATAAATAATGCTTTCCTTAATCTATAAATATCTTTTATATTTCCTTTATTTCCCAATAATCCTTTAAGACTCCATTCTTGGCCTGTCCTTTCAACTCTTTTCAATTTCTTCCTTTCAGGTCCAGATGTTTTAAAGTTCATCAATACGTGTTCTACATGTTCTATCTCTCCACATCCTTCACATTTATCATTATTTTTCCTCCCTATTAAGTATAAATTGTCATTTAAATAAGTATGACTTACTCTTAATCTGATCATTATTATTTCTTCCCTTCGGTTTCTCTCATTAATATTTCTATTTAATACTGACTTTTGTACTTTATATAACCTTCTTCCTTTTTATCTTCATTCCACCTTTTTTGCCATTTTTCAATTTCTTTCCTCTTAATAAATGATTGAATGTCGTACCCCTAGTTGTCCGCGAGTGCATTGCAAGGGGTATATGAAATTTTTTTATTTCTTAGGTAGTAAAATAAAATAGGGCTGGGATCGGTACTGCTTTTTGAGGACCCAACTGAAAAATTTAACAAACTTTAATCAACCAAAAATTTAATTTTTCAGCTTTGACACACATCCAAACCAAGCAGAGGAACAGACTGGATGCAGAGAACAGCCTGGGATCAGCTGTTTTTCACACTGAGCTATCGGAGCTCACCAAAGCAGCTCAGGTGTCTGGATGAAAACAAAGTAAAACTAAGTAAATCAGTCTGACTATAATTTTGTTCAATATCTTGTTCCCAGTTCATCAAGTTTAAATGTGATTATAGGGGAGTTACTCAGAGGAGCTCCAGTTTCATAAATACAGGTTTATAATATGATTTTATTTTGTATTTATTTTGATTCCTTACTAACTTCTGGGCAACATATTTATGTTGTTTTTATTTGAGATGGAAAGAATAAAATGCCTAAGAATTTAATTCTCAAGTTAAAAGATTAAGTTAAATAGTTTTTATTTGATGTTGTTATATTACTTTTGGATAATCATTAATACTTTTAACTGAAAGGGGGACTCACGGTAAGAAAAAATGCCCAAAGGTGGTAAACACTGCTCCAGGATCTAGACTTCTTTCTAGGTCATCCAAAGAGCCCATTCTGCTCTACAGCAGATTATTGCTACAAATCTCCATGTAATGACAAATAACAGGAGAAATGTATTTATAAAAAACTAAACAAGGTCTCTGTAGCTTATCCCAGAGGAGAGAAATGTCCCAGTGTGACGTCACTGGTTTTGTGGCCGGAGCATTTGGTTTCTATGACGGCTGCTACAGGGTAGTGCGTTCTTGCATTTGGTTGAACGTGAACAATAGAATTTTTTTTCCCCCCTCCATTAATAATAGCTGTCCAGTTCTTGCTGTGAAAAATGAAGGCTATATTTCTCCTATTTACTAACTCTTCACTCCATCTTTAAGTATTTGTTAACTAATGAACACCAACAACTTAAGAGCTACCATCACACATCGGAACTTTATAAATACGTGCACACGTTAGTGACACAAAGACCTAACCTGCATGCTCTCAATTTCAAAAGCATATTTTTGTGATGAGCTTGTGTAGCATGCTCATCACAAAAGATCAAATTCTAACAGGCTGAATGATTTTGTGAGTCATGCATCATGAAATATTCATTTTTAATGCAATGCATTATGCACCACGTGATCATTTCTACTCAACTTGAGGGGAACTCCACAAATTCAGCTGCAAGATGATTGTATAAATTGATGCATCTGCTGTTAAAGACTACAGAATGGAAACACAAGAATGCAGCACAGAGTAAACAAGAACATAATGACACGTCAGCAGCCTTCCTGTGGTCCTTCTCAATGGACCACAGGAAGGCTTGCAATGCAAGGCCTGCTGTGACTAGACCTGTCCTGTTAAACACACTTATGAGGCAACATGGATAAAATCCATATTTTACACACTTGAGACCATCTAACACAGAAGAATCGAATCAAAGGGAGGGAAAATCACTAATTGGCCCCAATCTGAACATTTCCAGTTATGGGACTTGTGCTTATTTCTGCTTTTAGCAGTTTAGACATCAATGGCTGTTCGTTATTCTGAGACGACAGCCAGTTCCGAATGTTACACAAACTTAATACTCAAATTGTCATATCATTAGTTTTAAAGTAAAAATTAAATATATAAATGTATATAAATATTAAAAATAATAAATATTTACAAGATCTGAGGGCTGTACTCACTCCACTGAGAAACTTACTAATTCTTTCTCTTTTTTTTTTTTATGGAACTAAAACTGCAGAACCTGTCAGTTTTGTTGGCACAGAAACTCCCCATCATAAATAATCATTGATCAATTTATTTTATGGACATAAAAAGACACAGGGATGTTTGTTTATAAATAAAACTTTTATTTCATATCAGACAACAAGAACCCAAAATATAACAGCTTTTTATTAGTCAAAATAATGTCATAAAAAGTTCTGACACATAAGAACATTTACTCCCAGCCAGCTTTAGTAGATCTAATAAAAAAGGCTGCTTAAAAGGATACAGCCCCTGATTCTGGACATTTTCTCTTTTGTCTTCTTCTGAAATTTGCTGCTCTTAGGTCACATCCTTTACTTCGATGTAATGTACGTTGAGATCCCTCCTGAGGTATTCCTCTGGTCTGTCTCGGGATCTGGGACTGGTTTACTCCAGCATGATCTGCTCCAGCAATTGCACTGCTTTCCAAAGGTCTGTGTGGTTTATGTTATGACCACAACACCATCAAATTCCAAAAATCACATTTTAATAAGATGCAAGGCTGAAATATTTTGGGTTCAATCTGTCTTCAATGAAATAAAAGAGAATTCATTAAAGAAACACATTTAGGTATATAAAGTTCCAGCCTTATGTATAGCTCTTGCTGCTTTTTTCTGGTTGTAAAGAAAGGTTGTGTTTATGGTTATTTATATGTACTATGCAGATTTTTGGGATCTGAAAAACATATTAACTGCTATAACAATTACATTCTACAAATCTGAATATAAAGGACATACATCCCTTAGAAAAGAGTCAAGAGTAAATCAAGGTTTCAATTGATTCTCAAATCAACTGGAGTTCTGACAGGATAATAATTGTAATTGAATAATTGAACTTTATTGATCTCACAATGGAGAAATTCCCCTCTACATTAAACCCCTTGGAGAGCAGTGGGCTGCCATTGTGTGGCGCCCGGGGGGCTGTGTGGGGTTAAAGGTCTTTGCTCAGGGACCCAGAGTGCAGGCTGTGGGAGTGGGTTTAGAACTTAGAACCTCTGGATTCATAGCTCTATACCCTAACCACTAGGCCACCACTGCCCATATAGAAGTATAGATAGATAGAATAATACTTAAACCTTGCAGTTTTACATTAAACACAGAAAAAGAAGAATAGTCTTGTCTTGTTGTTTCTTACCAGCAGAGCACATTGGACAGCATTCGTTTCCAATCTTATACTCTGTAGAGTGACAGGTCAAGGCGCTGACACTCATATGTTGAATTAAAAACATCTGTGAAAAATAAAAGAGAATTTTCCTTTTCATTTCAGCATCAGTAGTGAATTCAACAGTAAATATCAGGCATATTTTTTGAGATTATTCAAACTCTCAAAGGATACTTAGATTAACCCCCCATCAACATTATTACCATCAGCTTCCCATTACAAACAACAACTTCCAAAAAACAAAAAGATAAAGTAATAAAAGTGCATTTCATGGTAAAACCTCCTGTGAAGCTCACTTTAATCAAAATTATACAATCTAGTAACAGCTGGTAGTAACAACATTAGTACTTATATAAAAATTATAATCAGTATTTTTTACTCCAATATTCATATCTATTTTTTTCTCTTTTATAACCCGTTTGATGTTTGAATGCTGCTTCAGCTCCACATTCATGCTGTCCCTCAGCTTCACCCACAGAAACACAGGAACCTCTTTAGGTTCTAATTGTTATCTATGTGTATCTCTTAACTCATGGACTCCTTCCCTTCTAAATAATATATTCCCTGGCACTTGGTTATTTTCAGCTCTCTAAATTATTAAAGCTGCAGGTAGTTTCACTGTGACATAAATTTGTAATTAACCTTGCAGAACACCAAAATAATCAATTGCAACAATAATGAGGCAATAATGTTTGGAGGTTTAACAGTAAATCATCATTTGTTTTGTCAAAATCCCCTTTTAACATCAACATTATAACATAGATATGTGAAAATCAATGAATAATAGTAAATATGGTAATATTAAATTTCCCTTAGGGATTAATAGATTATTTTTTAATTGAATGATGAGACATGTGCATATTAACATTCTGCAAACAATTTAATCTAAAAAGAATAGAAAGTCTAAAATGAACAGATAGGAAGAAACTTCATCAATATTGGAGACAAAGTTCAGGCTTGTTGCCAATGGAATAATGTGAGCTGTTGCATAAGAATCTAGAATCTAGACTTGTTACAAACCTTTAAATCCAATTCTGGAAGCAAAATAAAAGTCAAACAAGGTCTAAATACATGAAATACGAACCAATGTTAAACAGAATGATGTCTCATGCTGCATGTATAAACTGAACATTATTTAAACTCTATAGCCTGTCTGTGATAGATCACTGAACACATCCTTCCCTTTTTGCCCAGAATGAACCTCTGTTCAGACTCGATCATGTGGTGTCCAGTGGTGTCTTAAAGAACACAGTAACTTCTTTGTGCTTTAAAGGCCTCCATAGTCACAAGACCTCAGTCTAACGAAGCTCTTCTGAGATGTAGGCCAAAGAGATGCAGGTGTGGTGAAAATTAAAGTGCAGCACCAGTGTGATTCAGTCATGTCTCTCCGTGTGAGTTAGTCATGTCTCTCCGAATAATAAAATTATGTTAGAACACTCTGTTGACAATATGCCACTAAGAATTAAAGCTGGAAATAAACGGAAGTCCAACTTTACACCAACAAGGTCCACCTGAGAAAAGAGGCATATATGCTCCACAAAAAGTTTTCTTTTAGTTTTAAGTGAAGTAGCTCTGGTGCTTTTTTTTTTTTTACCCAAGAGTTGCTTCATATAAATAGTTATGAAATGTCTTACGCATTGATGGCAGAGCTATGTGGTTTTGTAACTGCAAACATCTCTTCCTGTCATGATCTTGGGTGATGTCTGGTCTGATTACTTATTTCTCACACCTGCTTAGCTTCGCCCAGTTCTCATTACCTGCATATCTGATCCACCTGTACCATCTCTATTTAACCAGCCTTCTGACCAACCATCAGTGCCAGGTTATTTTCGAGCCGTTGGTGAGAAGTTTTCGAGCATTCCTGTTACTGATTGCCTGATCCTGACCTATTCTGCCCCTCAACCTCTGAGACTGCCTGCCCCCGTCTGATCTGGTTGCCAAACCTGTCTTCTTACTCCTGCCGGATCTCTGCCTGTCTGTGTACTGAACCTGGAACTGACCCGACCCCGTTCTGGGTTCTCTCTCGGCACCTAACTGGATCTTTGACCTCCAGGCTCAGACAATCGAGCACATCACCGCCATCAGCTTAAGCTTGGCCGTGGTTTATCCTGCAAACCTTTCTCTGCCCGGCTCTGATCCCTTGCATGTCATCCGATACATCAGCGTCTGGGCAGCAACTTCTGTGCCGTGTTTGCAGCCAACCGGATGGAACCAACGTCACCCTCTGGGCTCGGACTGAATTATAAGGCCAGAGGTTCCTGCCTTTGACGCTAATGCTGCTCACTTTGACTCAGTTTCCAATAAACGTTTTGAGAAAACCGCCTCAAATTTTAGATCCTACTGTTTTGAGCCTGTCAATTCCAGAGAGAGACCAAAACAGAGACCAAAAATGATGTAGAATAATGAAAGCCAAATGAAAGCATAATAAGTGAAGGGGACTTCACACTGGCTTTGTTTTAAACGTCTCCATCTTAAATAAAAATGTATGTTTTTGTTTTAGTTCCTCAGTTAAAAACCACTTTGTTATTGGTTCCTCTTTAGTTGTGGCTGGTTTGGCATTTGTTTTTAAAATGGAGCTGGAACCTCATCAAAACAATTGACTTTCCTACAAACTACCAACTTTCTTTTTCTTTTCTTTTCTTTTTTTTTTTTAACCATTTTTGTTAAGTTTCCATACATACAGGGGTTGAACTAAAACTTCTTAAAGGTCGACTTGTACCGACATGTTCTTTATGCATGGTTAACAGATTTTTAAACTATTTTCAGTTTATATGCTTCCCACAGTGGAGAGTTGCTGAGCAACACCTCTGCAGGTTCTAACAAGCAGCAAAGCTTCCAGTAAACCTTTTTCTTAAGCATAACCAAGCCCACACCTTCAAATGTCGGTTTAACGCTGCAGTTGCAAAAGCAGATTCAAATTCAGTAAAGTTATCCACACTTTTTCTGACTGCATAGAGGGAGAAGCTTTAGGATGTCAAGTTATAACAGTTTATTAATTGACTCATCCATATTTCTAACATATCTGTCTTCTATAGGCTATAGAACCCCTCATACCTCTGCTTGCCATGGTCTATTCAGTATTATAAATGTGTTGGATTAGTGTAACATTCTAATTTACCAGTAGATGGACAGTTGCTATATTGTTTCCTCGGAGGTTCATTTTTTAAAGCACAATAGGAGGTTTCTGCAGACACCATCTCGATGATATTACAGAAAGGAGTTCTATCAGCAGCAGGAAGTCATCACCTGGAAAT